AGTCTATAGTTTATCACATCTGGGACAACAAACCTGAAGGGATTTTCTTTAAAACAGCACAACAGTTAAAAACAAAAACATTAAAGTTTCAATGATCCAAACTGTCCACTGATGATCTGCACTTGTTACACTTGGAAACCGAAACCATTACTCAGGCTAACAAACAACAAAAACAAGCATCACAGCTTTAAAACAGTTTGATTATTTATTTGCATGACAGTATTAATTACCTCTTCTTGTGAAAACCAGCCCCTCTAGATTTTGCAGATTTGGGAAATTATTGCAAGCAAAGACATTTGATTCCAAGTGGCTTCCTTATTTGTATGTATACAGATTTCTATATAAAAGAACATTTTTTTGCTGAATTCACTGTTCTTCTGTGAGAAAAGTGCTACTTTTTGGGATGTTGAAGACTACACGAACAACGCTGCAATGGTCTGATTTTGGACAAATGTTGTACAGGTAATCACAGCTGCATTTGTGGCTCACATCACTTGAAATGAGGCGAAATTCGTGTTTTTTTTTTTGGTGTTTAAAATGCAGATTTAAAGACTCCAAAATCCTGGGGAAAGTGAAATATAAGCAAACATCATCAAGATTATTACCCTTTTTTAAAAAGAAAAGAAAAACAAAGTACTGTAATAGCCACAGTCACTAACAATAAAGCCAAAGATAGCTAGCTAGCTAGAAAGGTAAATACTGTTGGTAGTTACACGCTATGTGACAAAGCTATGAGGAAGACAGCAAGTTGATCCTTGATCAAAGTAGCTACTATTCAGTCACGCTTTTTGGGAAAAGCAACGCATTTCATTGCTTAATCGAGAGTTGTAAAAAAGTAAGCGCAGATATAAAACAAGGAATGATATGAAAGCAGTAAAAACCGACAATCCTCATCTAAACCTATCGTTGTAGAGACTAGTGAGAAAGGCCACGAGGTTCACAGAGAGAGAACATGAGAAAAGTCCTACAGTAAAAAGCTTCAAACAAGGCAGTCCAGCAAAAAAATGTGCATTTAAATAGAAAGGCAAACTTTACACTTATTACAGTATAGCTTCAAGGTTCACTCATTCACAGTCATTCATTCATTCAGGCGTGATGTCTTATTTCTCCCGCATCCATCGTAGGTCCACGTGTGGCCGGCAACGTCTCTTCACGAATGCAACTTAAAGACACTTTAAAATGAACGTCTTCTTGTCAGAACTCCTCTCTGACAGCATCTCTCCACAAAAACAAACCGGTGAACTTGTAAGTGCACTCATGCAGACCAGGAGCAGCTGGTGGTACCATTTGAGTAATCTCACAAACTGCTGACAGGTGAATAATCACAGAGTTGACGTGAACTTCTCTGGTAAAAAGCTTAAAAACAGTGAAAAGCGTTCAGCAGTAGAGCTGATGTTCTCTGGATATAAAACAATTCGGTA